CTCCATTTTCATTTTGTGATTTTCAGAAAATTACGTACTTAAATTATCCAAAAACATCAAAATAAAGCTAGTTTTCATATATTGTGCATGAAATATTTAAAAGTTAAAAATTTTCCGCGCTTGTAAAACTGCGACAACAAACTATCGCTTGCTTGTATTTCATGTGTAGATTTGGCATGCACATGTCAAAAACAAGGCCAAAAAAATGTTTAAAAATTTAAAAAGTCCATTCTCATTTGGTGATTTTCAGAAAACTAGGTACTTAAGTTATAGAAAAACATCAAAATAAAACTAGTTTTCATATATTGTGCATGAAATATTTAAAAGTTAAAAATTTTCCGCGCTTGTAAAACTGCGACAACAAACTAAAAACTTGCTGTTTTTATCAATTTATGGCGCTTCATCTGGTGAAACTTGACGAAAATACATGTGATTGAACATACCTGATTTCCAAACACACATTCCAGTTGCAGGTTTTACAACAACAGCCGTTTAAAAAACTTTTTCTTTGTCTTTTTTTTCATCTTATAAACGAACGAAGTTGTTTTGCAAAAACAATCGATCCTCGTGAGTGAGATCCCAGACTTATATCTTACACTACAACATTCCCCATATAATCAGCCGTGATTAAGAATCCGGAAAAAAGATTTTGTCCATAGTAATAGCACAGATCCCAAATCCTTTGTGAATTCAGCTTGAATTGTACCTTTTTACGTAGTAATTTTAAAAAGAAGTCAAAACAAACATGCATGCCTGATCAAACCACATCGAATTCGAATAAAAATGAAAATATGCGGGGGGACCTGCATCACACATAGATCAGGGGCGCCATAGCCGTTTCACCGCCCGTGTTTTACAGCGCCCTGCGCCGCCCTATTTATAAGCGCCCTGGTTTGTATTCTAAGAGCTCACTCACGCTCACACTCAAAAAGTGGAGGTTCTATCTGGACTTCTCTTGAGTGTCAGTGCTGTTTTTAAATTAATAGCTGGAGGGTGAGTAGTCACATAGTAGGGTACAACACTAACCGTCCAGCTATTTAAAAACAGCACTGAGTCTAAACATTGAACCTCCACTCTTTGAGTGTGAATAAGGTTTTAGAATACAGGCGTATAAGTCGCAAACTGCACAACCTTTCTGCCTTATAATCCCTAAAAACTGACAAAGGATTTACAGTGATAAAACATTGCACAAATTTGTTATTGGCGAACAAATGTTCGTGATATTATAATAATGACCTCCTTGTACCCATTCATTTAAATTAATTTCTTCCTCCCTCCGACTATTTTTAATGCGTAATAATCGGGGGAAATTTAAAATTGTTGGGCTACGCTTTTCAAAAAAATGTGTTGTTGAATCCATTTTCGTGTCATAACTAAACATCAACTTCAACGAATTTACCTACTACGGGACACAAGCTGCTAACTTCGGCTTAAGATCTAGAGGCCGACGCTTTATCCATTAGACCACGAAGGCTGACATTTATTGACGTGAAGATCTCTTTAATTATGACGCATAATTATAGGCAACCTTCTTAATAAATGGTTACTATAGGCTCACATTACTAAAAACTTGCCCATTGTCAAATATATTTATGCGTCTTTGTCATTACGACGAACTAGCCTCCGGCGAGACTCGAACCCGCACTCACTCTTTGCTTTAAATTGGGTTTTTTCTTGCGATTCCACAGTTGCGTTGGAACGTCGCCGCATTCCTGAACGTTTTGGCGCAGAAACATGACACCAAAAACTGCCGAAAAACTACCCTATCCAAATTAGCTGAATATTACCCCCTCCCCCCGCTTCCAATCCCCCCATAAAAAAATATAATACCAGGTCAGCTGCCATTGGTACTTTTAAATGGAATGATCCATAACCTTTTTCTATCATATCCATATTTCTAGATCTCCAACTATGGCAGGTGGTTTATTTGCAATGTCTAAACGTTTCTTTTATAAATTGGGTTCTTATGATACCAATATGTCATATTGGGGAGGTGAAAACTTGGAACTATCTTTCAGGGTAGGGAATTTATATAATCTGGTCATTATTGTCAGCGGTTTTAAATTCGTGCACCTGAAAATGGGAGGAAAATAATGATTTTCATTTTATCAATATGATCCTGGAAAATTCAATTTTCAACAATGTGAACATTTTGTTCAAAATTGCAGACCACTAGAAAAAAATTTAATATACTGTAGATCTCGGAAATGGCTGGTGAGAAAGATGAATAGCATGTTTTTTTTTTAATTAATGTAAATATATGTAACAACAATCTCTTGATCCAATTTTAAGATTCACTAATTGAGTCTTAAGAATCACATGAACAATTCAATCTTGGAATACTATGTGAATCTTAAGATTTAAGGACTCGTTGTCAGCATTCAATGATTCAATTTTAGGATTTAATGATCCTATCTTAGAGATCGACGATGCAATATATATTGGGATTCATTGATTCAATTATATTAAAATTCTGTTATAAATTTTAGGATTTAACGTTTGTTCAATGTTAGGATTCCATGTCAGAATTCAATTATTCAATCTTAGGATTTAATTATTCAGTCTTAGGAATTAGTGATTGAATCTAGGATTCAATCATTCAACTTAGGACTCACTAATTCAATCTTAAGGTTCAATGATTTAATCTTAAGAATCAATATTCTACACTTGATGTGTAATTTTTCATGTTAGGAGTCATTGAATCAATCTTAGGAATCAATGATTGAATCTCACAAATCAATGACCAATTTTGCAATTCCATAATTCAATCTTAGCAGTCAATAATTCAGTGTTAGGATTTAATTATTCAACTTAGAATTCAATCATTCCTCATCCTGTAGGATCAAGTAATGCAAATCAATTCAACGATTTTGTCTATGAAATAAATGTTTAATATGGTAGGATTCAGGATCCAGTTTTAGAACTTAATATATAAGTCAATTAGAAAAGCCGATAGTACCAACGGAGGATTCAATGATTTAGTGACCCAATACCCGATTTCCAACACATAAAATTCAACAATCTCTAAATCCTGTTCGTTTACATTGCAGATATGGATGTGTGGTGGCACGATAGAAATCTTAACCTGTTCAAAAGTCGGTCATGTATTTCGTGATACTATGCCATACATGACAGGGAGGGGCACGGCCGAGAAAAACATCAAGCGTCTAGTTGAAGTTTGGTTAGATGATTATAAATCATTCGTATATTCAATGAAGTCTCAATCTTTCCTGGCTCTGGACGCTGGTGATGTAGTAGAGAGACAGGAACTAAGAAAGAGGTTACAATGCAATAGTTTCTCATGGTATCTCCAGACTGTCATTCCGGAATTACGCATTCCAGATCCAAATCCGTTGGGAAGAGGAGAGGTTTGAGTGCTTCTTAATCACCATTTAATTATTTAAATGATTTAGTAAATCACATTAATTACATTAATTAAGTAAATTACAACTAGATGGACATTACCTTAGCAAGAGAATTAACTTACGCATAAATTGTACAATGCATGGGCAAATTTCGTATTAGTTTAGTTTTCTCTGCTGGCAAAACAAGAGTAACGTTTTGTATTTCTTATCCATTTCCAAACCAAATTTAACCAAAATCTAATTTATTTTGTCATTATTCGCATCAATTTTCGTATAAGACAAACGTATAGACAAACAGAGTTGGGTGAAAAATCGTTGAATGCATTGCATGATTTAGCACTTTTAAATTAGTCCAAATAACTGTACAGAGTGTACAATTACACAACTAACATAACACTTGTAGAATTAGTATTGTTCGATGCTGAATTAATATAAACGAGTATGTTTATGACATTCAGTATATATTTCATAATTTCCAGTCTTAAACCCGTCCGACCGTGTAGCTCAGTATAGGTAGAGCGTCGATCTAATAATTCGAAGGTCGCGGGTTCGAGACCCAGCCGCGGCAGACAACATCTTTCTGCTTGCGCTGGGTATGGAAATTATATAATACACACTCTAGAACATTTTCATCTTAACATATTACAGAGTGTACAATTACACAACTAACATAACGCTTGTAGAACTAGTATTGTTCGATGCTGAAATAATATAAACGAGTACGTTTATGACATTCAGTATATATATACATTCAGTAGGTAGAGCGTCGATCTAGTAATTCGAAGGTCGCGGGTTTGCGACCCAGCCGCGGCAGACAACATCTTTCTGCTTGCGCTGGGTATGGAAATTATATAATACACACTCTAGAACATTTTCATCTTAACATATTACAGAGTGTACAATTACACAACTAACATAACGCTTGCAGAACTAGTATTGTTCGATGCTGAAATAATATAAACGAGTACGTTTATGACATTCAGTATATATATATATATATATATATACATTCAGTCAACTTCAACTTTCAACTTTTTTCAACTTTTCAACTTTTAATAATAATAATTATAAATTACATATATTTACAGCTTGCCCTGCAAATAACTATAGAGTTAATCGAGGCAGGGCAAGTAGGTAGTATTTTAAATATAAGATATAAAGTATCTACAATAGTTATACACATATAATAGAGTGATATATAATATAAAGTAATACGAAAGAGCAGACTGAGCTTAGATCAAGTTTGTCACAACTGATTTGGCTTAACAATAATAGGATTCTTTCTCTACTGTACAACATTTAGTGTACATTACTGAAAGTAAGAATAGCGTAAGTTACCCATGCAACAGTAGAAAATATGAAATTCTTAATATCAATAGTTTTTAATTTTTTCAATTATCATGGGGATTTGAATGTAGTCATCTTCTTTTTCCAATATTTTAAATAGAAGTTGTTGAATGGTCCTTTTAAATAAATTCTTAGATAGGTCACTTACATGGCATGGTATCTCATTCCATAATTTTACTCCAAGCCGTGAAAAAGAATACTTTTGTGTGTTTAGTCCAGAACTTTTTACATAAAACTTTTCTGAAGTATATGATCGTGTACTGTGTAAGTGAATAGTGGATGATTTCTCGAATAAGTTCAGTAGGTAGAGCGTCGATCTAGTAATTCGAAGGTCGCGGATTTGCGACCCAGCCGCGGCAGACAACATCTTTCTGCTTGCGCTGGGTATGGAAATTATATAATACACACTCTAGAACATTTTCATCTTAACATATTACAGAGTGTACAAGTACACAACTAACATAACACTTGCAGAACTAGTATTGTTCGATGCTGAATTAATATAAACGAGTATGTTTATGACATTCAGCATATATTTCATAATTTCCAGTCTTAAATCCGTCTGACCGTGTAGCTCGGTAGGTAGAGCGTCGATCTAGTAATTCGAAGGTCGCGGGTTCGAGACCCAGCCGCGGCAGACAACATCTTTCTGCTTGCGCTGGGTATGGAAATTATATAATACACGCTTTAGAACATTTTCATCTTAACATTTTCATCATATTTGTTACGCATAAATTGTACAATGCATGGGCAAATTTCGTATTTAGTTTTCTCTGCTGGCAAAACAAGAGAAACGTTTTGTATATCTTATCCATTTCCATACCAAATTTAACCAAAATCTAATTTATTTTCTCATTATTCGCATAATTTTCGTATAAGACAAACGTATAGACAAACAGAGTTGGATAAAAAATCGTTGAATGCATTGCATGATTTAGCACTTTTAAATTAGTCCAAATAACTGCGCCTTTTCATATCTTTCATTTTATGAACTTTGCCAATTTCCAGGCGAGTAATGTGTACAATGGAATGTGCATAGATTCACTGGGAAACGACAAAATTGGAGGAAAAGTCGGGCTGTATACATGTCATGGACTAGGTGGAAATCAAGTAAGCCTTTTAAATATGGGCGGTAACATAAATTATTAAATAATATAGAGCTTAAACAAGCTACGTTTTTGATTTACGAACACATAGCTATCCAGTTATACTCATTTCACTCTGCTTATAGTACCTTCTGAACCGGTGTATTAGGACGGATAGAACGTTTTTGTCTTGTCATCTTTATACAGTAGCTTTATTATCACAATAAGCTATTTCTTATGAAATTTTAAATATTTTTATTGCATGCAAGTTCTAACAGTTGTTCTGCTTTATTTTAGTTCTTCATCTACACAAAAGAGTTGGAATTATGGCACAATGATTACTGCATAGGCATTAAATAACCACAAGTTGGAATGAAAGTCATGTTCTACAAATGCAGTAGTTTAAATATTTTACAAAAGTGGGAACATACAAGGGTAAGTACAACCTGATACTCAGGGTTTTCTCTTCCGCTACCACCTGAAACCCGCTTTCGGGAAGGTAGCGGAAGTGAAAACCCTGAGTATCAGCTTAGGGTAAGTAAAGCTAGAACATGTAAACCTTACTCACATTTTGTTGGCAATGAACGTATGAACATTCTTAATCAATTATGACGAAGTTAAGGAGCATTCATTTTTTAGCTGGGGGGGGGGGGTGCCCGAAGGGACTGCTGTCTAATTCCATGCTAAAACTTGGAACCCTCAAGAGAAAAGTTGATAAAAAATTATGACTCCCTATTTTTTTACCGAAAATATTTTGACCCCTCATCCTAACTATTATTAATCAACACGGTGTCGTTTCCGTAGCGTTTCAGGGCCGTAGGAAGCTCTTTTATATTGGGGGGGGGCTGAAAGCGAGGGGCGAAGACCCGAGGAAATTTTTGAATCTAGAGTCTCTGAAATGCCATTTCCTGGCCTTTGGGGAACATTTGACAGAATTCTGATGGTCAGAAAACAGCGTTTTAGTATGTCGAAATTGACAATTTGGTCGTACTAAATGGGCGAATTGAAGGCGTACTTAATTAACTATATATTGGATAACTAGGATAAGTTGCAGGAAACTGTGGGTACTATCTTCATTCTTTGCAGTTTGTCATGGATAATGTAGCCGCTTAAAATTAATAAAGCTTAAATTGATCAAGGTCAGCATGATTTTGAAATCATGCAGACCTTGAAATCATGCATGATTTTGAAATCATGCTACTGTCCTGCGTTTTCTTCATTCATGTTTTCACACAAAAACGGATAAAAACGAGGCCAATTGACGAACGTCATGGAAATGTTTTCCTATGGCCTGTGTGAACAGAGCGTCAAATGAATTTTGCTTCCTGTTTGTTAAAGATGACGAGATAGTTGATAGATTCTAGACCTTTTTAGCATTCTTGATCCAAATATTTCCAAATTCTATAAAATTATATTGGTGATTTTTTCACTGATTATTTTTATGACCCCCTCCATTTATACCAAAAACTATAAAAAGACCCACCCCTTTGAAGCATGTCAAAATTGGCTGACCCACCCCAAATTCCTCCGCCCCCCCCCAGCTAAAAAATGAATGCTTCCTTAAGTCTCGATAATACGCATATTCAACATTGAAGAGGTATGGAGAAGGGGTTATGCATATAATGTGCAGTTTTAGCATTTTAAGTTTTAACATCCGTATTATCGAGATTTGACTTCCTCATATTTGAATTTTCAAAAAAGTGGAAATACCATAGAATTCATACTGAGCTAGTTGGAAATATCGCGAAAATATTCCGTGCAATTAAATGGAATAAAAATCTCGTCTCGAAATCTGGTTGGCTCCATAGCTGAACAGGTAGAACGGAGGATCGGAGTTTCTTAAATAAAAGGGCGGGCGCAAACCTGTTCTAAAACAGTTTTTCAGTTTACTTCAGAAGTATAACAAATAATGTGGGAAAGCTTCTATTCAAGTTTCTCTGGAGATGGTTCTGTAATAGAAACGAAACATTGCATATTCTCGCAAGATCCTTTCATTTTTACGTCGTTGCAAAAATATTCTGTGCACTTAAATATATATATTGGCTAAAACTCGCCCTTCGCTATTTCAGTTGACATCGAATACCAAATCATGCATGTTTGCGCAATGTCCAATATTATATTGTAACATGGCATTGTTATACCATGTTATTTAATATATTCAATACTATACTTAATATTCAGTACTGTTATAATTATAAGAGGAAGACCTTAGGTTACCTTCCTCGCATGAGTACTTACAGAGATTAATAAAGAACAACGGAAAACGCCTAGTACATAAACCACGCAAACAGGATATGGTTTTGTGGTTGATAAACACTGCTAGAACTTGCTCTGACAAACATATTGCGTAGAGAAAATTCGTCATAGTTATAGATTTCTTCCTCTAAAATGTATTATAAAAGCTGACCAGAACCTGAGAGTCGAGAGTGGAGAGTGAAGTGAGAACAGCCATTTAGGCTAAAATACAACAAAGGCTGAAGTATATAGTTAAAAGGAGATAGTCAAGCCTCGTCAAGTAAACTAAAGAATATTGGAATATTGTGGAATTATTAAAGAAGATGGAATACGAAATATAGAGAATAAAGATTCAAAGTTGTGCTCAGCTCAAACAAATAGAGAGATAAGTTGATATATTAAGAGTTATAGATTGAGGCGCTAACTCATATTGTTGAAAATAAATAAAAATATATAAAAGGTATAAGGTTTCGTGCTATTTGTGTTATGGTGGCGTTAATATAATTTGAACCCGAAGCTGAAAGGTTGAAAATATACCTAATTGGAAAATATATTTGACGCATAAATAACGCACCATAACAATATAATTTATTTGTAGAAATATTTTAATATGTGTTTAACACGCAGGTTTACCTCACCCCCAATGACAGAATTCATATCCAGAAACTTTGACTGTGGAAATGAACAGAATGAAAAAACAAAAAATCACATTTGTTCACTTATAATATAGCACAAAAAATATTGGAAAGAAATTTTCGGGGTTGACATCGAGTTATACCAACACGGCTCTTTGCCATAAATATCTTATATACACTACATAGCGCATCTCTTTAAGTAGTAAAATTGAAGCCAAGAATATTCCAGTGGTTACCCCCATTTGAATAGATGGCGGCCATGTTGAAGTTTCCCACTCGATAATAACAATAAATAACAACAACAAATTTCATCATTCGGAACAGTTTGAAAATCTATTTGGATAGATTTACCTTAATGTTTAAGTTCCAAGTTTAAGTAATAGAAAACGTACGAGTCTTCTCATTTCATGAGAATATCCTGAGTCTGCAATCACGGCTTTGATTTTTGAATTGCAGAATAATTAGATGCACTATCTGGTGTATAGAAGATATCTATGCTCTTAGCCAATGAGCGTTCAGAATTTACAAATGCTATATTATATGAAGATACATCACATTTCTGTTAAAATGACTGCCAAATATTACAACTACAAAAAACATATTTGGGGTTAGTGGCATGCAATTTAAAGGTCCAAATAAAATTAATGCATGTGTTAAACAATGCTAAGAAATTGCAATGAAATTGCAATTGAAAATGCAAACAACGAGTCATACCGGACGAGCCCACCTTCCTTGAGATCGTTTGAGATGATAAAATAAATGTTCGAGTGTCTTTTTCAATCCCATCTTTCTTTCTTAACACTCCATCTAGGACGAGTTCATCCGATTCTCTGGTCACAACCTGTGCATGGAATCGTTAGGACGCGACATTCTGCTAAAGCCGTGTACGTGCGGTATAGAGCAGAAATGGAGATTTTCGTCTTATCCATATTACGAAAATATTCAATCAAAACATTAACGTAATGGAAAGAAACGGCTGTGAAATTGGCGTGCTCTAGCTAGATAGGGAAGTGGACATTTTGCCCTGAATTACTAAATTGTTACTCGGAGATAGATGGACGGACGTGATCATGGATGAATCCTGATATGGAATAGCAACAAGGACAAGGCTGGTCAAGATATATGTAGCTGAGCTATATATATGGGTCTGAGTAAAAAAACCTGCATCATGATTAGAAATTAAAATATTCTAATGCATAATGAGGAAGGGTTAAGGAGCAAACTTAAACGTAGATAGAGTTAATCACTTTTCCACATGAACAGTTGCTACTGTGGTTCACACTATTCAGAAATTTTTCCATTGTCAAAATCTATTTACACATCATTACGTACAATAAATTTACCTGCGAGGTGACTTGAATAAGCAATCTTCGAAAGTCGACGCTTAGTGCGTTAATTAAGGCGATTTTCATCCAGCACAAAATGTTGCGAGATCAACTTTTTGCGATTGTTTTCTTTCGAATTACAAACAGTCAAGCGGAAAAATCTTATTAGCTGTAGCTGACTGCACACCATTTCAAAAGAAAGAGAACGCAAAGAATCGATCGTGCGACATTTTGCACTGAATGGAAATTCGCCATTAGGCTACGAAGGCCTATATACATTTGAAATTGGTAAAGTTATTTTTCCTTATGTTCCCAAATAACTAGCAAGTATTCTAGAGAATGGATAAATTTCCAAAACTTTCTACGAATTTATTGTTGCCAAACCAGCGTTTGTGTCTATGAATTTGACTCCTTATTACCGACGCTTTGTAATGGGAGTCGAGCCCGCAATCGTTGGCTCAGGAATCCGGCGCCTAATCCGTTAGGGGACGAAGGCATGAGTTGAAAACAGTTATAGCTCTTCTGCTTAGAATTCCGAATAACTGGAAGCATTATGTATTATTTACCTCTTTACCCTATTAAAATGAATTTATTTACGTACCTAAGAAATTTTGTTTATTTACCTTCTACTATTTTTAATAAAAACTCGGTTATTGTCAAATCCAGCAAGGCTTACATTGATGGTTTGGGTAGATTTACTAATATACGATGCATTACCACAGGCAGCCATTCAAAATGGTTAGGCTCACACTATTTAAAAAGTTGCCCATTGTCAAATATATTTTCCTGTCATTTGTCACTTCGTCGAATTAGCCTCGACGGGAATCGAACTCGCACTCTTCACAGCATTCTTCAGCTTTTTTTGGCTTTCTTTCCCTTTCGACTTTCTATTATTATTAGCAAACCAACGTGCGTGATATTATATTATATAATACCTTATTGAATTCTGATCGTTTAATTGGCTGTTTATGGCCACGTGATATTGAATAGAAAATTCCATTTCCCAAGAGTGCAATGGAATACGTTCCATTGCACTCTTGCGAGTGCAATTGTACTATACGTTTTATTCCATTGCACTCTTTGTGTTTTCGATAAATCTCATCCGTCAAAATGCTTCTCGTACGGTGATCGCAGTTTATTTTAACCCGATATTCGAAACTCAGTAAATGGGATTTAATGCAAATACGACTCGTCAAAATGGCGGGAGCTTACAGTAAACATTTTAATATTAGTCTATTTTGGTATTATATAAAACAAATAATGAATGTTTTTATTCGTGCAATGGTAAGAATATTTTCATTCGGTGAAAGATGGAATGTTCCATTCAACTCGGCTGTCGCCTCGTTGAATGGAACATTCCATCTTTCACCTCATGAAAATATTCTTACCATTGCACTCATAAACATTCATTATTTGTATAATATAAATTGACCTTCTTACTTCGATTAAATTGAATTAACCTTCATATCTATGAAATTTTGTATTCTTCTCTCCGACTTTTTTACTGCATAACAATTGGTGGCCGTTTAAAATTGCTGGGCTACGATTTTCAAAAAAACTTGTATTGTCCAATCTATTTTTGTGTCCTAACAAAACATTTACTTTGACGTATACGTCCAACTGCACGCTTACGTTATGAAAAGATTTTGACATGGTCATATCTATTTATGTGTAACTATGGTACCTCCGACGAGACTCGAACCCGCAATCCTCGGCTTAGGAGGCCGACGCCTTATCCATTAGACCGCGAAGGCTTACATTGCCGGTTCAGGTAGATCTCCTGATTTAAGCCATCAGCAGAATAGTTAGGCTCGCACTACTTATTTCAAATGTTGCAATCGAAATTCACGTTTTTTGGCTTCCTTGTTTTGACTTTAGTTTGCTTTCCTTTTCGATCGTCTTAGAAATAAAGTATCATAATACTTTTTATTGTCCATTGTCAAATATATTTTCCTGTCATGACATAACGTCGAATTAGCCTACGGCAGGAATCGAAACCGTAATCTTCCCGGCTTTCTGTTTTTGGCTTAAGTTTTCTTTCCTACTTGGTATTCTTTTTCGGCTGCCTGGCTTACATATATAGAGCGTTTGCGCATGACGTCACAGGCGCCATGTTCGTTTTCCAATTCACAAGAAGTTTAATTACTGTACTGCGACTAATTTAAATTTAATTATACATAACAACAATATCCTCAGTAAGTCGCTTAACAGATCTAAATTGCATCTGAATAAGTTAGGATCTTCTACTTTAGCTAAAATCTTTATTAGTTATTTACATAATTTTTAGCCTAGGTAAAGTTCCAACTCTTTACAGCAAAATTTCCGATACCGAACCAAAACGTCCAAGTTGCTCCATTGAGAAGATTATTCCACAAACAAAGTGTGAAAATAGCATTACATTTTTACAATCTTTGAAAGGATTTAGAGTTGGGCATTTAAACATCGCTTCGTTAGTCAAGCATGTTGATGAATTAAAAATATACTTGAAAAAAGAACCACTGGATGTTTTGAGCATTAACGAAACTCGTTTGGATGAAACAATTAGTACAGATACTGTTAATATACCCGGTGTGACGCGAAATTCCTGACTTGCGAAATATCTGACTATTGTAGAACTGCCCATGCGCAGACGATGCGCATGAATGACTTTGGCTCATAAATTTCGCAACTGAACAGACAACACGTGTATTTATAAAGCCATTTTATTTATACATAAAGTTTCCAACATTAATTCTACAATTGATCAACTGAATTGACACTATACCACTGATTGTGAACGTTATAATAAACCTTGAATCGTAGATAAGGAAAAATCACTCGAAAAGCGATCTTAGTGATATAAAATAGACTCCAGTTTCAAAGGTTATGCCGTATATGCATTACTATACTATAAGCACTAAAAATCGTTCGCGTTTGACCTTCTCACTATTTAGTAAGCAGCAACGATGAGTTCGAAGTTCATGAGTTGGCCGTTTAGATTTGGCGATGTCTATGCTAGAAACATTTGGTAACATCGCATACCATATGGACTTAAAAATCGTTTCGACCGACCGTATTTAGCAAACGTCGTGTATTTCGCGGTCACGACCACACAATTCGCTTTGAAATTTAAAGTGTTTGTGATTGAAACTTAGCGATGTCGATTTGAAATATTTAACGAAGTATTAGAAATTAACATCATGATTATTTTATCTAAACTCTAAAAAACAGTTTTGGCCGACTTAGAATTTAGCAAGCGTCATGTATTTCGCGCCTGTACGCGCGAAATTTCTGACCCGTCACGCTAGGTCAGGTATTTAGCAGAGGTCAGGAATTTCGCTTGACACCGGTTACGACATGGTTGCCAAAAATCGTAATCGGAAAGGAGGCGGTGTTGCAATTTACCATCGCAGTATTTTGAACGTAATTGATAGAGATGATTTAGTCCCAGAGGACGTCGAGGCTGTTTGCCTCGAAATTATTAAGCCTAAATCTAAACCTGTCTTAGTTGCATCTGCATATAGGCCACCGAATTCGCAAATTGAATTCCTTGATAAAATTGAAGTATTATTTCAAAACCTTGACAACGAACATAAAGAACAAATTATCGTTGGCGATTTAAATTGTGATTTTTTATCCAACAATTTAAGCAATCACACTAAACGTTCTAATGATATAGTTAATATATTCCAGCTGACACAGTTGATTGACCAGCTATACGAATTACCGAAAAAAAACAGCTTCTCTTTTGGATGTCGCTCTTGTAAACAATCCTGAAAAGATTTCGCACTGAGGAGTATTGCATGTTGGAATAAGTGACCATAGCTTGATCTACGTTTGTAGAAAAATTTCGTTTGTAAAAAATGATCCCAAATTTGTTGAGTCAAGAAATTTTAAAAACTACATACAGCGAGACTTTAACCAAGACTTATACCATGCTTTATCTAATTTAAATTGGGAGATAAATGATCCAAATATGCTTTGGAGAACTTTTAAACAACATTCAATTATGTTGCTGACATTCATGCTCCACTTCAAAGCCGTAAAGTTAGAAACAGAAAGGCACCGTGGCTGACTGATGCAATTAGGAAAAGTATGAATCGCCGAGATTATCTCAAGAAGAAAGCTATTAAGACAAACTCAACTGCATGCCACAATGCTTACAAAAGTCTTCGCAATGAGATTAACAAAAAAATTATGTATGCAAAGCGAGATTATTACACAAACTGTGTTGACAGAAACAGAAATAATACAAAGCAAATGTGGAAACATATTAATCAGTTAGTTAATAAAAATTCTAGATCAACAAATATATCAGTACTACAAATAGACGAACAGGTTATTACTGAAAATGAAACTATAGCAGATTTGTTCAATGAATATTTTACTGATATAGGACCAAATCTGTCGAACCAGATCACGGAAACTAACACTGATTTTAAACGTTATATGAAATTTAAAACTCAACATAAGTTCAATTTCGAAAACATTAATATCAATGAAGTGTTAAATGCACTTGAGAAATTTTAAAGACGTCTAAGTCAACTGGACATGATAATATCCCAGCCAAACTTTTGAAAGATGCGAGTGATGCCGTGGCGCCTTTTTTAGTATTTATTTTTAATACTTCACTCAAACATGGAATTTTCCCTGATGATCTTAAGACTGCAAGAATTTCTCCAATTCATAAATCTGGTGACAAAAAAAAATCGAGGCAATTATAGACCGATTTCCATTCTTTCGATTATTGCTAAGTTATTTGAGAAACTTGTCTGTACACAGCTCAATTCCTTTTTAACTGAAAATAATATTCTGAGTTCGTGTCAGTTTGGTTTCCGTAAAAATTATTCCGCCGCATCAGCCCTTTTAGCAAATACGGATTCATGGTTACTTAACATGGATGCTGGGATGATAAATGGAGTACTTTTTCTGGACTTATGTAAAGCATTTGATACGGTTGATCACGGAATTCTCCTAGGTAAATTATCTATCTATGGAATCCAAAATAAGGCCTTAGATTGGTTTAAATCTTATTTGCATAACAGAACGCAATACTGCAGGGTGAACAGTGCAACATCGTCCACCAGGAAAATACGTTGTGGGGTTCCCCAGGGATCGAACCTTGGTCCCCTTTTGTTTTTATTATACGTCAATGACCTACAACATCAGTAAAAAGGTCAACGAAGGGCATTGGTATGCTGCGCCGTGCAAAGCCATTTGTCTCTCTTGAAACTCTTAAATATATTTATCAGGCTTTAGTGCAACCGAGTTTTGATTACTGCTCCATGGTTTGGGGAAACTGTGGCGAAGGCTCAAAAGAAAAGCTACAGAGACTACAAAACCGTGCAGCTAGAGTAATCACAGGTGATACCTATGAAATTCGCTCCACGGATATTTTAAAGAAATTAAATTGGAAAACACTCGAAGAGAGAAGAAAGGAGCAAAAATTAGCATGTGTGGCCAAAGCCCTTTCAAACCAATGTCCTGAAAACGTTTTAACTATGTTTAAAATCTCAAATTCTGATAAATATAATTTAAGAAGTAATAACAAGATGCTGATGTTGTCGAAGCCTAAAACAAATTCAATGAAAAGGACATTCGGATATGCTGCTGCTAAAGACTGGAACTATAATAGTAAAAATTTTAAATCTACTTAATTCATTTGTAATATATATATATATATATTTAACGTATCGCTTCGACCCAAACATTTCTTAGTATCTTTTAATACCCTTATAATAGTTTATATAATATATTTCGAGTTTTAATTTGTATTTAGTAACACGGCCTAATGAAAAACAACCTTTATAATTTTTTGTAAATACTGATAGGTAATATGGTTGATTAGTTACCGTGTGTAAAGATGTACGTTGTAACAATAATAATAATAATAATAATTCATTAGGTCATTAATTAAGTTTCTTAATGTGAGTATTTTTCTCAGTGGCTAAAAGGTTGCAGTTTAGGTCGCCTGTTATAATAAATTCCTTGTTTTCATCATCTGCTTTTTGTAAGAAGTTTTCAAAGGCATGGGCCATGGGTTTATTTTTTGGTTTATTGATTTGAAGGCAAATTGATTCTATGTTTGTGTCAGTTGGTATTAAATCGTTTCGCACGGTGTGAGGAATTGCATTTCGTAAGTAACTATGATTGCAACACCTCCCCCGTTTCGATTTCTATCTTTTGTTACTATGTCAAGTCTTGTTTCATTAATACTTAGTAAATCGAAGCTTACCTCATGCATGAAAATTCCTAGCTCATCTGATATGTTTTGGAAGACTCGTAATAAACAAATCAAATGACATTGAATCTTTCTAAAACGTGGAAATGGGTCTACAGAGTGGGTATACGAAACCCATACCAACAACAATTGTAGGCATTGAGCAAAATAGTTGGTTAAAATTATTGGGTACCATACATAGTCAGCATGGGATCTTCATGTTAACGATCTATACTGACTGGAGTATCCATAGCACTGCTATACATACCCTTAATATCTTATACATATAGGCAAGCTAGCTTTGGGCAGTAGTCTACTGTCCAAGGCTAGCGGGCGTATCAGGGCCGCAGCTAGCATGTATAGTTGGGGAGGGGGGGGGGGGGAGGCCAAAAATTTCCGAATGACGAAAAAATTTCCGAATCAGATTTCATGGCATAAGCCACGAAGGTTTTTGCTATCTAGATATTTACAAACAAAAATACGAATATTTTACGCACAGACATATTACAGAAGCGTGCAGTGCCGTAGGAAGCTCTTTTTGATTGGGCCGGCTGAGAGCGAGGGCCCGAGGGAATTTTTAAATTTAGAATCTCTGAAATGCCATTTCCTGGACTTTGGGGAAGTTTTGACAGAAAAGTTCTGATGGTCAGAAAACAGCGTTTTAGTATGTCGAAATTTACAATTTGCTTGCAATTTAGTAGTACTAAATAAATGGGCGAAGGCGTATTCAATTAACTATATATTGGAGAAGTTGCAGGAAAGTATGGGTAATATGATTCTTTGCAGTTTGTCATGGATAATGTAGCCGCTTAAAATTAATCAATTGTCAGTATTGTATATTATTTAAATGATAAAGGTCTGCATGATTTTGAAAAAAGAATGATTATTAGCAAATTATTGGGAAGGCTGCAGCACCCCCCAGCCCCCCGCCCTTTGCTACGGCCCTGAGAAGTAATAAACCGACGATTTGTTAAATGTTATCCATGTAAATGCCATGCGGATTTCGTAACTGAATCAGTTTATACTGACAATACAATTATATTATATTTTCGCTAAAATATTATATTTTGTTATACTATTATTGCCGTAATTTTCCGAATGGCCAACCTGATTTTCCGAATTATTTCTCCAATAATTAATTCTCCAAATTAATTCTCCATAAATAACCCTAAGTTTTGAGAAAAAAATTTACTAAAAAAGCCAAAGCTATTGCTTATTTTAAACATAATAAAACTGCTTTTTAATGGACCTATTACCTAATGAAAATAATTTTGATTTAGACAAGTCTAGACAAAAATTTCATCACAGCTTGAAAGAGCATCACAAAATTAGTAATATTCCGAAGTTTCGTTGCGAAATGTTGTAAAATGCGGATAATATAGCTCTGCGAAGTTTGCCGTTTTTATGCAGTCATTTTGTATTACGCACGGGAAATTGATACTTTTTGGCGTCTACTGGAACAGTAGTCGCCATATGCTGTCGACAAGAGGTTAATACAACGTTATATCGTTATATAGAGTGGACGGTTCACTTCTCCTGCGAACAGGCTCGATCTTTGGTTATGTTGAAAATTCGTTAGTTAATCATTAAGGGGAATACTGTGTTGCTTTGGGATATCGGGGGACCTTAGGTTTTGCTTTCTAAATATGGTAATGTTTGGGAACAATCTGACCAATCAGGAGTAATCAGAAGTAAGCGGAAGTAATTTGTGATTGAGTTGTTGTTCGAGGGAAAAAAGTTGAGAGAGTTTACGGAAAAATAAAACGTTATAAAACCTGGTGCCAATGGTCCAACATGGTTGTTAGAGTTGATAAGTGTAGCACATTTGGCATCAAAAAAGTTTTATCAAAATCTGCCCAGTACCTGCCGAAGATTTTGATCAATAAGGATCTCATACTATCCAACGATTAAGACTAGAGAATCATTTGAGTATTTGGGACGACACTTCGACTTTAGCATGACTAATGAAAAACATAAATCTAATTTAACTGATCTCCCTCATTGATGAACTAATGTCCGAAATAGATCTTAAACCTCTTCACCCAAAAAACAAAATTTTACTTTACAGTCGTTATGTTTTGTCGAAACTATCCTGGCATTTTACTGTTGCTACAATATCTAAAACTTGGGTAGTCGAAAATATCGATTCTCCGGTGAACAAGTACGTCCGAAAATGGCTGGAAGTACCTATATCTGGAACATTAAGTAACATCTTTCTAACCCGTAATAAGTTTGGTCTAAATATCATCCCTGCATCCGTCAAGTTCATTCAGTGTCAAATAGTTCTACGCAATGCCCTAAAAACATCTCCAAACGATTCAATTAACGAACTGTGGAAGTCAACATTATAATAATCATACTAGCATTCAATACGATAGCTACAATTCAACTAAAGAGGTTTTAAAAACTTTCCATTCTCAACAAGAAAATAAACTTAGGGACCATTTGAAATGTCAAGGTTCCTTTTTCGAAAATGTTTCTAAATTCTCCCTATCACAACTTAACGCAATCTGGTCGGTATCGCAATCAAAGCTACCAAAGAACATTTTCAACTTTACAATTTGCTATATGAATAATACCCTTCCTACCCGAAAGAACCTCAGTAGATGGGGAATTTCATCAAGTTCTGACTGCTCGTTCTGCTTACACCCTGAATCACTTCTGCACGTCGTTGCCGGTTGTCAACATTACTTGGAACGATTTACTTGGAGACACGATTTCATACTAAAGTTTCTTGCAAAAACCTTTCAAAGTTTAAACGAATGCAAATTACTTGTTGATCTTCCTGGATTTGAAAGCCCCTCGATTGTTACGGGTGATGAATATCGTCCTGATTTACTTGTCTCCACTTCACTAGAAACTTTCAGACAAACACCTCTACGTTGTTGAACTTACCGTAGGTTTTGAATCAAACCTCACAAACAATGTTAACCGCAAGAAAGCTAAATATAAGAACCTAATTAGAGAACTAGATCAAAACTTTACATCTGTTAAATTTATAAATCTTTCAGTCAGTTCGCTAGAGGTGTTTGACAAAGAATGCCATACATTCGTAAAAATGCTAAATGAGTACATGAGTTAGGACTGGATAATCAACACCAACAATATTGTATCAGAAAAATGATATCTATTGCCATCCGATCAACGTACTACATATTTTGCTGTAGAAATAAAGAATGAACAAATCCCGAACTAATGAACATTTAAAATCACTATTTCTATAAATAATTAACAATTTTTGTATATAAAACTATAACCATGTATAAGTGATTCAAGTAGTCAATTGTAGGTTACCTCAAGAAGTGAGATTTACAATTGTATATATCTATAAATGTTCTATTAATAAAGTTTTCATTATTATTATTATTATCATTATCATTATTATTATTATTATTATTATTATCATTATCATTATCATTATTATTATTATTATTTTAAAAGAATTGCTACTTGTATTCCCACGTCTTATTATATATTCTGTAGACGAAACAAAGACTGGAACAACCCAGAACTTTTAAACTTTTAACTAAATTTAAAAGATTTTCACCTGTATATATATTTTAGCTTTAAATTCAATTCAAGTGGACATCGATAAGCTACCTTTTATTAAGTGAGGTTTATCAATGTATATATAGTATATCGTAAATATCTAATAAAAAGTTTCCATTATTATTATTATTATTATTATTATTATTATTATTATTATTATTATTATTATTATTATTATTATTATTATTATTATTATTATTATTATTATTATCATACAGTATGACATTTACAAAGACACAAAAGACGTACTTAAGGCAATTAGAAAAGAAAACGAACAAAGACTTCAAAACCACCTCATTTCGCAAGGTTCTTTCTTTTCCAGTATCATGAATCATTCCACATCCACATTCAACTCTTTATGGTCATCCGTTCAGAGCAAACTTCCGAAAAACATTTTTAACTTCATGATCACCATCCGATATATCAATAACACACTTCCAACACGAAAGAACCTATCAAAATGGGGACTATCATCAACATCCGATTGCTCTTTCTGCTCTTCACCTGAAACGCTGCTCCATGTGATTGCTGGATGTAAGACATATTTAGACGAAGGCCGGTTTACATGGCGACACGATTCTGTTTTAAATTTCCTCGCATCCACTCTTACTGCTGTGAAAAATTCCACACTTTACGCGGACATTCCTGGTTTTATGAATCCATCTGCATGTTATCACGGGAGATCGTTTACGACCTGACCTTCTGCTGGTGACTGAAAACAGATGTCTATACATCCTCGAGCTTACAGTCGGTTATGAATCCAATCTGCAAGTTAACGCCAATCGTAAGCGTCAAAAGTACCGTGATCTAATCAATGAGCAGGAAGCAGATTATGATAAAGTCAAGTTCGTCAATTTATCCTTGAGTACCCTCGGAGTTTTTGGCCGATCTTGTGAAAATTTCGATGGCATGCTAAGTAGCCTTAAATGTGATGCCAAGTATAGTAAATACATAAAAAAGCAAATCGTGAACATATGCATACGAACATCATATTATGTATTTTGTAAACGAAACAAGGTGTGGGATAACCCAAAATTAATGTTAATATAATCCTTCTTAAAATAATTATTGTACAATAAATATATAGTATCAATTCAAGTAGACATTGATAAACTACCTGTAAAGCGAGGTTTATCATTGTAGTTGTACATATCCTAATAATCAATAAATAAAGTTTCCATTATTATTATTATTATTATTATTATTATTATTATTATTATTATTATTATTATTATTATTATAAGAATGTCATTCCTTTTTAGATATGTTAACTGATCTAGGTCTTGATAAAAGACACCAATATTTCGCTATCAGGAAAATTATGTCTATCGCGATTAGGACAACATATTATATATTTTGTTGCAGAGATAAGGACTGGTTAAATCCGGAATTACTGAACATTTAAGGATACTCATTATTAATATATAAATATTAAGTAGGTTCAAGTAGTCAATTATAAATTACCTAAATTAGTGAGATTTATAATTGTATATATACGTATATAATTTCAATAAAGTTTCCATTATTATTATTATCGACATCGAGCAGTCGCGTATATACGCTCTCTGTAGATGTCCTTGGTTTCATCGAAAAATTTTACTTGAATTGATATAGTTACGTTACATTTTGAATTTTATACCTAAAATTAATCAAGTATGATTCGTGCAAGCTTGCTTGCGTTATTTTCAACGCCAATAATATGTGGATTTTGTGTCAAGGAATTCAAAACCGTTAGGCCGGTCACTCAGGGCATTTTTTAAGAATTCGTCAGTGGGGGGGCCATCTACAAAAAGGGACCATACTATACCGAGTGTGGAGCAATGATAGATGGTTTGTTGGTAACAAAAAGTTTAGTGTGGTATCGCATTTAATAGTGGGGAGGGGGGGGGTTGGAGAGCAGGGCCTTAGGAAGCTCTTTTTGTTTGGGAGGGCTGAAAGCGAGGGCCGAAGGCCCGAGGAAATTTTTAAATTTAGAATCTCTGAAATGCCATTTCCTGGACTTTGGGGAAGATTTGACAGATTTCTTATTGTCAGAATACAGCATTTTTAGTATGTGGAAATTTAGAATTCAGTAGTACTAAATGGACGAAGGTGTATTTAATTAACAATATATTGGATAAGTTGCAGGAAAGTATGGGTAATATGATAATATCTTCATTCTTTGCAGTTTGTCATGGATTAAATAATAAAGGTCTGCATGATTTTAAAAAATGAATGATTATTAGCAAATTATTGGGGGGCTGCAGCCCCCCAGCCCCCCCCCCCTCTGCGGTTGCTACGGCCCTGGAGAGTGTCTGGGGTTTTCTCCCCCAGAAAATTTTTGTATTTTTCTACCCCTATGACTGCAATTCCCTGCATTTTCTGAAACAGATTTTTGGATATACAGCATTACATTATGCTGTAGATAGACTGAACCTTCAGTTAAGTACTTGCATAGTATGTTTATGTAGATACCACAACTTGGCCGTCACTTAGGGAGCCAGCTTGATAAACTTAGAATTCCCGACTCCCACGAAGCGCCACCATGGTTGGCACAGAGTGGAAAAATTTTGAAAATTTTGCGTCTCTAAATCATCGGAAATGGCATTTTCAAAGTCTTCTATACGTCTTTTGTTTGGCCCTTTCATTAATTCGTTCATTATGATTTGTGAGTCTATGATCGATATCCGCGAGTCAGGATGGATTATTACGAGAAATGTTATCAAAATATCGATTACAGATATTTGATTATATGTATATATGATTTCAAATACTTCTAGTTTCGAAATCAAATTGTTTTTTTTTTGGTGGGGGCCAAAATTATCCCCCCCCTTATAAAACACATGGTTGAGGGCCTGTTGCCCCCTGCGGTCACTAACTTGTCCAACAACTCAAACTCTATAGGGTCTGGGAAATGCAATCCACTGCCTGGGAAATGTTTAAAATCTAATAAGGTATTTATTAAACATAAAAGACAGGACATAAGATTCACAAAGCAAATTTCAGTTACTAGAATATCAAACCTCCCTTCTAAATTCAATGTTTTGCTTATATTTTAGAGAAAAGGGACTTTGACTGGGGGGGCCAAAATGGTTGAGTGGGGGGGCCACCATGGGGGCTGGGGGGGCTTTGGCCCCCCCAGTTATATAGTTAAAAAATGCCCTGCGGTCACTCGTGGCGGTGTAAAAGTAAAGTTGGGAACGAACGAGAATCTACTTTGAATGTTAATCCTGCTATGGAAATGCCTACACAAATGTGTCTACCTGTAAAGTCTTGCAAAGCAGTCAAATGTTGCTGTGGTAAAGTCTGCAAAGGAGCTCGTGGACTTAAAATGCACCAACGAAGCTGTAGAGTTATTGACGACCTTGAAGACGAACTGCAACAACAAATGACTGAAGCATTGAACGACGACAATCATGAGGATAACACTGACCCAGTTAACCCTGAAATATCACCTTTGAACACCCAAGAAAACTTCCCCGACTTAAAAAGGGGGATAAAACTACCCAAATCGCCATTACAATTGTCAACTGCCAACGACTTTTTCAAGTTAACTTTTTTGAATCACTCAATCACACCGGATGATCTAAATAACAACATTAATACCATGGTAACCGTCGTCTACAATTACTTTAGTGGGAATTTTGGACATGTTGACAACAATAGCAGTGTAGAATTCGAAAGAAAATACCAAACATTTTCAACAAAGGATTTAAAAAAAGCTTTAAAGAAATTAAAACTGGAAAACGGTAGTATTCTGGAGATCAAATTTGTCGCGAAGAAATTGCGCATCCTCCTTAATAAGTCAAATAATACGGAACTACATAATTCTGATAGTCATGCATCTGCAGACATTGATCACGATAATCTAATTGGTAAAAACTTCTGGGGTTACGTTAAAAAATTTTTCAAAAAGAATACCAGTTCACTTCCATCATTTAATTTAGCGCAATGTACATCCTATTTTACCAAAACATTTTCCGCGATTAGCCCAAATAAAACATTTAATATTCCTAGTTGGATCCTAAAATTTGCTTCTCCTCAAACGCCTTTTAAGCTTGACCCCCCGACCTATCAATAGATTACAAACGTCATACGTAAAATGAAACTGTCTGGCTCACCATGTCCACTTGATCAGATATCAATAATCTGTTTTAAACGATGTCCGTATCTACGTTCCTACTTGACTGAGATAATCCATGCAGCTTGGTCACGCGGTGTTGTTCCATCTGAATGGAAAAAAGCATGCACAATATTAATTCACAAGAAAGGAGAAACAAACGACCCAGCAAACTTTCGACCAATTACTCTTGAATCCATCCCGCTTAAAGTCTTCACATCATGTCTTCGAAATAAAACATTTGAATTCCTGTCAGACAATAATTACACAGAACAAAACATCCAGAAAGGTTTCACTCCAAAACTCTCAGGAACACTAGAACATACTGCTCAGATGGCACATATAATTAACACAGCGCGTACCAAGCAACGATCTATAGTTATTACATTACTCGATCTTAAAAATGCATTTGGCGAAGTCCATCACAACCTCATTTACGAAGTCCTTGATTATCATCACGTTCCTAATCACATAAAGAACCTTATCTGCAGTCTTTACACTGATTTCCAAACTTCCATCATAACCGAACAGTTTAACACCCCCTTCATTACAGTCGGTCGTGGCGTTCTTCAAGGCGATTGTCTCAGTCCACTTTTATTCAACATGTCATTCAATACTTTCATACAACATATTAAATCTGAAAAATACCGTCAGCTTGGATTTTGGAAATTAAGTGAAATTGGCATTCCGTGCAATCCTATACATTGGTTTCAGTTTGCAGACGATGCTGCTGTCATCAGTAGCCAAGAGAAAGAAAATCAAATGCTCCTTAATCGTTTTACAATCTGGTGTCAATGGGCTAATATGATTATACGCGTTGACAAATGTTCAACATTTGGCATTAAAAAACACTTAACTAAATCTATCCAGTATTTACCCAAGCTTTTCGTTAATAACGATCTTGTACCCAGAACCGAAATGGGCAAATCTTTCCGTTACTTAGGTCGCTATTTCGATTTCAATATGTCTGATGGGGAACACAAATCAGAATTACTCGACGTGTTTAATGACATCATGAATAAAATTAATGAACTACCTTTACACCCGAAAAATAAAATTCTACTATACAGTCGTTACTTGCTGTCAAAGATATCCTGGGACTTCACTGTTTCTGATATATCTAAGACCTGGATCTGCGAAACGTTAGACAGTATTGCGACAACATATATCCGAAAATGGCTGGAACTTCCCGTCTCTGCAACCCTTAGCAACGTGTTGCTTCCACAAAACAAATTTGGTCTGAATATTATTCTCCCTTCGACAAAATTTATCCAATGTCAAACTGTCTCTCGATCAGTTTTAAAATACTCACCAAACGTAGATATTAACAATCTATGGGCGGTGACGAGCACCAACAAGAACATACAGTATGAAATTTACAAAGACACAAAAGACGTACTTAAGGCAGTTAGAAAAGAAAACGAACAAAGACTTCAAAACCACCTCATTTCGCAAGGTTCTTTCTTTTCCAGTATCATGAATCATTCCACATCCACATTCAACTCTTTATGGTCATCCGTTCAGAGCAAACTTCCGACAAACATTTTTAACTTCACCATCCGATATATCAATAACACACTTCCAACACGAAAGAACCTATCAAAATGGGGACTATCATCAACATCCGATTGCTCTTTCTGCTCCTCACCTGAAACGCTGCTCCATGTGATTGCTGGATGTAAGACATATTTAGACGAAGGACGGTTTACATGGCGACACGATTCCGTTTTTAATTTCCTCGCATCCACTCTTACTGCTGTGAAAAATTCCACACTTTACGCGGACATTCCTGGTTTTATGAATCCATCTGTTATCACGGGAGATCGTTTACAAGCTGACCTTCTGCTGGTGACTGAAAACAGATGCCTATACATCCTCGAGCTTACAGTCGGTTATGAATCCAATCTGCTAGTTAACGCCAATCGTAAGCGTCAAAAGTACCGTGATCTAATCAATGAGCAGGAAGCAGATTATGATAAAGTCAAGTTCGTCAATTTATTCTTGAGTACCCTCGGAGTTTTTGGCCGATCTTGTGAAAATTTCGATGGCATGCTAAGTAGCCTTAAATGTGATGCCAAGTATAGTAAATACATAAAAAAGCAAATCGTGAACATATGCATACGAACATCATATTATGTATTTTGTAAACGAAACAAGGTGTGGGATAACCCAAAATTAATGTTAATATAATCCTTCTTAAAATAATTATTGTACAATAAACATATAGTATCAATTCAAGTAGACATTGATAAACTACCTGTAAAGCGAGGTTTATCATTGTAGTTGTATATATCCTAATAATCAATAAATAAAGTTTCCATTATTATTATTTTTATTATTACTATTATTGGAAGTATTCCCCGCAGGGCTTTTCAATACTTATTTACAAATGATACTTTTTACAGCTTAATTAATGTTTATAAAAATGATTACAAAAGGAATTTATAAAAAGTTTAAATGTAGCGCAATAAAATAAATTTCAATAAGAATAAGTTTCTTGCATGCATGTTAAAACTAGTGTTTATATATATTTATAAGCATTCAAGTTTCAAAATATCGATTTAGTAAGAATTCTTTTAATTTGATTTTAAATGTTGCTAATGGGAGCTTTTTCGACTCATTGTCTAAACTATTCCATAACCCAACAGCTCTATATCGAAAACTTCTTTTTCCTGTTGTGCTTGAGCATAGGGGAATATGTAGTGCTTCATTGTTTCTTGTGGCGCGATTGTTTAGTCCCTTACGTTTAATAAATAGGTCGCACAAATATGTTGGAGCGAGATTATTTATACATTTGTAGATCATGACCAAATTTTTGAACAACAGGTGCTCTTTAACAGGGAGCCAACCAATATCTTTAAGGATTGGTGTAATATGATCACTGATTTTTTTCCCATTAGCTATAATTCTGCACGCAAAATTTTGGACGGCTTGTAGTTTCTTAATATTTGAAGAACTCGTATTTGACCAAACTGTTGAACAGTAATATACCCATAACTACCGCGCAGATGATGTAAATCAGCGTCTTTTGATCGAAACAATGTTTGACACGATTAATTTGACACAGTTTAGCCATACACTCTGATGAGAGCCGGGTTATAGCCTATGTTCGTTATATTTTTTTGACAAATGATGGTAAATTTGCTTTGTAAATGGTTAGTGTTATTTTTTTCACATTGTTTTAATTGTCTCCATTGGTTAACGAGAATTGAATGCCACCCAAAAATGGCGGATATTCGTCAACGTGAGAAACTAGGCTAATTTACGGCAATTTACAATAGACTCGCTGTTGGCTGCCAGGCAAATGTTCTTTGCTTGTCCTTAAGTATATTACAAATCATTTCCTAGTACTTCTTTGCGGATTTGCCTAATAAGAAACTGACTCCAGTATGTAAATCTTGCGTAGCGACGTCGCAAATGCAATCCACAAAGAATACATATACAGGCATCTCACCCCATTGGTATTGGAACACAAGCTCTTGTTACACTGACCTGAAAGGTCAAGTGTCTTAAATCCCTAATTTTCTGTTTTCTTCTGTTTTCTTCGTCGTCGAGAAATCGAGTTTGCGTTCGCGCATCGCAGGCTCAGGGTGCAACGATTAAACCAAAATGCCATCGATCCTTCGATTCCACGATTTATATAGTTATAGTAACAAGCTCGTATTTATGTACGTAATAGCCGGCTCATGCCATATATAGACTTGTACGCACGCGCACAATTCCGAACACCAAGGGTGACATATTCAGTCGAGTTTCAAAATGGCGGCTTTTGGGTGAGTGATCAAAATATATTTCACACAGTTTCGTTGAATTTTCAAAGAGTTGTGCCGGTTTCCTATGGATTTTACGTTGCGTCGCACTCTGGTCTTTCTTGCGTGTTGAATTAATGTGCTTTTCTTTGTGCAACGACTCGAAAACCTCAAAATTTGGATCCAGCAAATTTTAATATGCAATATAGTGGAATATACAATATAGTGGAATACAATTAACAAGAAGAAAGTTAAAAGTTTGACAGTTTGACTTTAATAAACAACTATAAATATACGTTGTAGACTCATAAACATCCGTTGTGTTCTTGTGTTCATTTTTGTGTCGCTCTCTGGACTTTCTTTTGGACCCAGCGAATTTATACAATATAGTGGAATATAAACAAGGACAAGTTAAAAGTTGACAGTTTGACTACACAACGTAGTTTTAATTAAACAAAATCTCCTAATTCCTTACGGTAGTTTTAGCCAAATGTCGACAATATATCTTACATGTATTAAAATTCGCGCAGTATTATGCAAATTTCAGTACTGCGCGAAATATAATCCGCGCGTAAAGCTTTGTGGTAGCTAACGCTACAGTAAAGATAAAGCGTGCGTTCAAAATATCAACAATGACTAAAACATTTATTGTATGGTTCTCATTTGCTTAATACAATAACATTAGTTCGACGCGAATTTTAATGCAAGTAAGGTATGGTATCATATTTCATAATATAAGGAACAATGTAAACTAGCCACACATTTCGCCGAACATATAAACTTCGGCCCCTTTGGACATATATCTTTTTCGTAATAGTATTATTGGAACCAGAATCCTAAACACTATTTATAGTGTTATTTTCAAGCTCGTGTCTTCAGATTTTCATCTTTTATTTCGGTATTTACAGAATATTTATATTTTTAGCGCGACCCATGAAACGTTAGCCTGCGTCTGTGTTTAGCACTTCACATTACACACACAGACTATGTCGTAGTCTAATGAAACGTACATCAAAACAATGCGCTGTTTAATTAAATCGTAGGGGTCTGAAAAACCGGAAATCGATTCTGTCGGTCAAAGTACTCCCCGTGGCAAGGTTTGTACGTGCATCGATCGGGTTATAAAATATGGCCAAGCATCGACGTGTAGACTTGGATCAAGTCCGTCTCTCTAGAGTTGGAGTCGCGAAGCTACGAGATCGAGCGCGCCGCAAAGCGGCGCGCGAGGTGCAAGAGAGGAGGGAGAGACGGACTTGGCTCACCTGCAATGTTTCGAATCAGATTTATTAGTTTGGCGGGAATTATGTTAATAGACAGGTGTTATTAATTTAGCGGTTTTGTTACAAATACGGAAACCGCAAGTGTCGGGGCAAAATTATTAAAATACTCGTCGCGATCGAAACTAAAATACGCCTTTAATATATAACTATAAGCCTTATATTTAAAGATACACTTTTTATTAAATCGTATCTATAGACTCTTCTAGTTAGTTATTATGACTATATGCACAAAATTTATCCTGAACAAAATATCCCTGACTGTATCAAAATTTCGTGTGATCATGAAGTTTGCCGTGACACTTAATGTAAGTAAAAAAATAATAGTGTGACACTAGTTGTGCAGTTTTATATAGTATAATCATATCAATAACCTTCTTAAAACGTATTCATCATTTAAGTATAAACTAAACCGGACACGAAGAGACACAGCACCATATCTATGGACAGCACGCTATACATTTTGAAAAAAGATACTTTGTTATTTCCGCTCTATTGCAATTAGCATAAATTATTGCAATCTAGTTATGACGCGTTACCGACGGAAAAACGGCATGACGACCCGCACGCCTATAAATTGAATTATCTTGAAGGTGTTAGTTACCACAGCATTATTAGTCGAGGTGGTAAGAGTGGTGACATGTATGAATTTACAGTGAAATAATTTATGCGTGCATGAAATTTAACCCCATAGATATGATGTAGCAAATAACTAACTGAGCTAACATACAAACCAGGTTGTCATCACCAACTCAAAATAATGTCAAAACAATGCCGCGCAACGTTCAAATTGCGCCAAAATTTGGTCTGAAGAAGAGTGCATTCTGCTTGACAATCGTGTGTATGGATTCAGGATGGAGATCAAGATCGAACAAACTGGCAATATTTTGATGGCGCTTATTAAAGAATAAAGATTAAAGATTAATGCGAAGTATTTCCAATCAGTAAGGTTAGGTAATAGTCAAAAGGCTATAACCTATAGGTATTGCAGCACGCAATCAGTTATTATTTCTTTAGTATACAGTATGCTAGATACCACGTCTTTCAAGCAGGGCTATCACAACCGCGAGTTGATTGTACTATATTCGTTATTTAATATACTCATTTCTATATTTTGATACAAGGTAGCACAAGACAAATAATATTTATTTACATATATATACCGGGTGGCGCAAAAAAAGTTCAGGCGTTTGATCTACAATAGCGAAAAAACTATAAGAGCTATACATCGCTCAAATAAATGTAGCTGTATTCATAAAAGGCTAACTTAAATTTTGATAGGTTATACATGAGATATCACGAAATATTGACTGAGATATCAGCGTTTAAATTAAACTTCCGTAAGCATTTTCAAAAGAATCGAAAATTAGTCTAAAATGGCCCATTGAACTAAATTTGATATCATTCTCATTAGACATTACGCTGGGCATCGCCAGATTATTTCCCGGGCGGGCTAGTGATGAGTAAACGCGGAGATGAGCCGTACCCCTGGCTTTCAGATTTGACAAAATCCAATTTTTTTGTGGCTATACCTATAGAGTATAGTTGAAATATCAAATTTGGAGTATGCCACATCGACAGCGCTAGGTTTTGGAATAATATCTAGAATACTTTTAGTGAAAACTCTTGTGTCAGAAAGATATCCCATCTTTTGCTGACAGGTTATGAAGATGTCCCATCTTTTCTTAACCAGTGGAAGCTTAAAAGGAGACTATAATATTATTCTTTACACCACGCTAAGTTAGAGTAAAGCGGCGCACGCAGCGATAGCGCTATAGCTTTTGGAATAATATCCAGTATACTTTCAGTAAAAACTCTTGTGTCAGAAAGATGTCCCATCTTTTGCTGACAGGTTATGAAGATGTCCCAAGAATACTTTTAGTGAAAACTCTTAATTGTGTCAGAAAGATGTCCCATCTTTTGCTCACAGGTTATGAAGATGTCCCATCTTTTCTTAACCTGTGGAAGCTTAAAAGGAGTCTTATATTATTCTTTACATCAGGCTAAGTTAGAGTAAGGCGATGCAGCGTGCGCTATAGGTTTTGGAATAATATCTAGAATACTTTTAGTGAAAACTCTTGTGTCAGAAAGATGTCCCATGTTTTGCTTACAGGTTATGAAGATGTCTTATCTTTTCACTTAACCATGCAGTGGAAGCTTAAAAGGAGTCTTATATTATTCTTTACATCAGGCTAAGTTAGAATAAGGCGATGCAGCTTGCGCTATAGGTTTTGGAATAATATCTAGAATACTTATAGTGAAAACTCTTGTGCCAGAAAGATGTCCCATCTTTTGCTGACAGGTTATGAAGATGTCCCATCTTTACTTAACCAGTGGAAGCTTAAAAGGAGTCTTATATTATTCTTTACGTCAGGCTAAGTTAGAGTAAGGCGATGCAGCTTCCGTTATAGGTTTTGGAATAATATCTAGAATACTTTTAGTGAAAACTCTTGTGTCAGAAAGATGTCCCATCTTTTGCTGACAAGTAATGAAGATGTCCCATCTTTTCTTAACCAGTGGAAGCTTAAAAGAAGTCTTATATTGTTCTTTACCTCACAACGCAGGCGCGGGCGTAGATTCCGTAGATTAGCTAAGACAATGGTGTCAATGCAGCTATTGTTTTGGGAATAATATATACATTTGATATATACGTTAGTGAAAACGTTTGTACCAGATTCATGTGCGCACTAGGGCCTATAGGGAAAGGCGGTATAATTATATAACTTTATAAGTCAGTTTCTTTATTATTTAGCCATAGAAAACTTGCGCTTTCGAAGCCGGACTTTTTATACTGCCAAGATCTAAAACGGTAAATATGTTCCGCGGTCTTGACATGGAATTATCGTGCTGTTCTCTAAAGCCTGGTTTCCATTAAATCGTAATTATCGCAAGAACCGCATCGCAAGCGTCGCAACGATTTTAAAAACGCGAAAATTTTAATAAAAACTGCGATTTATTCGAAACTTGAGTCACACCGATCACTAAGACTCTTACGATAAAGTCGCAAAGATAGACTTATTGCGATTTTTGCGATAGCGATGTCTGCGGTTCCGCGACTATTGCGATGATTACGATTTAATGGAAACCAGGCTTAAGATACCAAGAACGTTTTGTTTTACAACACACAAGTCTTAATATTACATATTATACGCAGCCTTATTACACATTGTACGCTATATAGTATAGCCTGGCCGCCTGCCATGCAGGCTAGGCCCTAGGTGACTTGTCAACAGTCAGCATTGTGACATATTTGTACACTTTTATTTTAATGCATAGCAGAAAATTAACTTATTACTTGCTTGGTTTCACACTGCGTCTAAGCAACTGAACCTGGATTGATGACATCTTATAGCGGTAATTAATAATGCGATTAGCGTTGCTCGCTTCCTGAAGTTGCAAACTCAGTTTGCAGATCCCGCTGTTTTTCAAAACGTGCGGGTCGTCATGGGTAAATTTGGCGCGCTTCCAGGTGAGCCAAGTCTTTAATCTTTAATCTTTAATAAAATTATTTAAACACGGTAGCCTGTTCAACAGATAATATTTACAGCGCTGGTTTTCAAAGGGCCGTGTGTTTACAACAATAATATAAAAAGGACAAAAAGAATATAACTATTTACAATGAATTGATATGGATGAATTAAGTAATTGCCGTTTAAACGACAAAATTGAAAGATTGTTATAATTTCCAATAGTTTCACTTGGAAGTTCGTTCCAGGACTTAGCAGCTCTATACGAGAAACTTCGTTTGAGAAAATTTGTCGTAGGTTTGGGTAGGTTCAATTTAATTTGATTGCTTCTTAGATTGTAATTGTCATTTTGACTTACTGAAAACAATTTTTCAAGGTATCGAGGTAATCGACCAGTTAGTACTTTAAATGTCATTATTAACTGTCGTTGTTTTAGAAGTTCTTCTATTGGAAGCCAATTAAGACTATCTAGCGTTTGCATGGAACGAACCTCGTATGTGTCCCCTGTTATCACACGCGCTGCTCTCTTCTGCAGTATAAATAATTTATCAATTATCGAACAACATCCATCATTCCAGATTGTTGAACAATAATTGAAATGAGGCCACACTAAGGCATTGTAGATTTTTATCAGACTATCTCTATTGACAAACAATTTTGCTCTTTTCAGCAGGGCGATATCATTTGAAATTGTTTTACATTGCATTTCATTATGTTTATTCCATTTTAGCTGGTCGTCAAGGATCATGCCTAGTGACTTTTTTTGGTAAACTCGCTTAATGTTGTTTCCCCCTAATGTTAGTACTGGGCTATTTTCAATTGAAGCTAAGCGACGTCTTTATCCTATTATCATAAATTCACTCTTTTTCATATTTAATGAGAGCTTGTTAGCTGTCAACCACCTATGAACATTTTCAATGTCTTTATTAAGTTTGATCTCAATTTCATATGGACTAAACCCTTCACAAGAAAGGCTTGTGTCATCAGCAAAAAGATTTGCTTTAGTTGTCTCTAAACAGTTAGGAAGATCATTTATGTACAATAGGAATAAAATAGGCCCAAGGTTATAGCCCTGAGGTATCCCGCATTTTATTTGTCTAACAGCTGACATCTTGCTATTCACAGAGCATATTTGGCTTCGACCAGAAACGTATGATTCGAACCATTTCAGGCTTGTAAAAAGCACTCTCACACTTGCTTTTTATATAGTTATTTTAATATAATAACGCAACATAAATTTACATGTTGTCCGTTTTATCTCAACTAACTTCCGATTGCCCTACACGTGTCTTTTTAATCGTCTCACCACGTGACAGCTCACGTGATTATAACAGAACCAATAATGTTATTAAAAGTAAATAAATGTATAATGTAAAACGTCATGCACTAGATTAATGTTTTCTACATCCTCCCCAACCGGAAAAGTTCGCTAACAGTTTAAATGTTTCGCTATGTATACTGTTCGCGAATTCTCCGCAAGTTTTCTCCATCGATCGCTGCCTTCCTCGTTGGTCTTCTACTTCCTTTTCGCTCATCCGCTCTTGACTCGGTGTCAGTCGTGTTATGCTGTTCTGCGTTCCTATCGTTGTCATCCCCTTCATGCTTGTCGACGTCATCCTGGACGATCTCGAAAGGTATTAGCTTTTGTAACGGTCTGTGAACCGACGACTGAGCTCCACCCTTTGATAGAACCTTCAATTTAGCTCCCCTGACCAGTCCATCACGTCCTTTCACCAGCTGCAAGACTCTTCCAATCCTCCACTGTGCCCGAGGTGCTGGTTCATCCTCTTTAATCAAAACAACATCACCAACGGTCAGACCTCGCGTATTGGTTTTCCTTTTCCGGTAGAGGTTCATTTGTCTCAGCTCGTTCAAATATTCTTTTCGAAACCGCGTCCAACAATCTCTCAATATTTTCCGTAAGTGTTTCAACCGCTGTTTGTACTGTCCAAGGCTCGCCGTAAGTATGGTATCCGTGTTTTTCATCCGATTGCAGTAGCCTCGACCGTACATCAGGTGGAATGGCGTCAAAGGTTCGTCCAAATCATCCTCGCTGACATACGTAAGTGGCCGATTGTTGATTGCCACTTCTACTTCGCACAAGATTGTCTGCTGCTCTTCGAATGTCGTATATGCTCTCCCGAGAGTCTTCTTTAAACAACCCTTAACTGTCCGGACGAGTCGCTCGTAAAAGCCACCCCACCATGGGGACGCTGGTAGAATAAACTGTTGCCGAATGCCTTGATATGACATGAATCGTTTGACCTCCGCTGACTTGAAAGTCTTAAAGTTGTCGTTGATAATGACATCCGGCACACCCCTACGAGCTACAAATCTCCGAAATCCTCGCAAAAATCCGTCACTTGACATCGAGTAGACCAGTTCGAGGTGGATCGCTCTGCTTGTGGCACACGTTAGCAGTAGAATGTACGTCTTGACCGTTTCTGCACCATCTTTCACAAACAACGGTCCAGCAAAATCCAAGCCCGTCGCTTGAAACGCAAATCCCGAATGATCGATTCTACACTGTGGCAGATCAGGACTAGCAGGAGCACACATCGGCTTTCCTTGGTACCGTTTGCAAATCACACATTTTCTGAGGACTTCCTTGACACTTTTTCTCCCTTTCACAATCCAGTAGTTTGACCGTACTCTTGCCAATGTCGACTCCACTCCGTGGTGCATACTCGCCTTATGCGCGTCCCAAATGACTAATTGTGTGAAATAGCTTTCGTTTCCTCGTAATATCATTGGATGCTGGTCTTGGTACCGCAGATTAGAATTAGCGAACCGTCCCTTTAACCGTAAAAACCCGTCTTTGTCTTCGAACAAATTCAATGAAGCACAAACGTTAGCAAAATTTGATTGTCCCTTTATCAGAGATTGTTCTTCTTTAATCCACATGTGTAACGCTTGCTCGTATTCGTCAGCCGTTAGAACGTTCTCCGTGATTAAGTTTCCATGGTTCTTCGTTCGTTTTCGCAAATTGTTCAAGAATCTTATCACGTAACCGGTGGTGACAACCAATTTGTACAACGAGCTATACCGAGTGCAGTCTATGACATCAGACAATGAACACGTTTCGCCTGATATGTCATTCCGTGTCGCGTTTTTGAAAAGAACATCAGAAGAATTTATTTATTTATTTATTTATTTATTTAATTCGCCTTGTACATATTACAGTGGCAGGGAATCCGCAACAGCGTTTGCCAATTACTGCGGGCCCGAATAAATAAATTACAACAATACATATATTAAACAACAAAGAACAGTACTAACAGTTCCTACATACAGCACAATAATGACGCTGTGAGGCTACGAACAGAATTACACTTAGGACATATAGTTTTATAACTACGAGAATCCTCATGACTAACCTCTTTCACAACCTTCCCGCCCAAAGACGTTTGATCACAAAGGGTATCACTTCTCTCGCCTCTGTATGCAGAAGGTTGAGACAACAACACCGAAGGACCAGTAAACCAACATCCTGAGAAACACTCAACTAGACTAGTTGATATCCTAGTGGGGATATCTGCAGGATTCAGTTCTCCTTTAACGAAATTCCACCGCTCACGATCGACAACCTTTCTAATGGTGACAACTCTATTCTCCACCCAAGGTTCCCAGCTTCGCTCCTTTCCCCTTATCCAACTCAACGCTACCTCTGAATCCGACCAACAGAATATTTCATCCAACTCTACACGCCCTCGTATACCAAGTACAACCTCATTGATCAACTTGCTCAATAACAAACACCCCAATAGTTCCAACCTGGGAATAGTAAGGGTTTTTAAAGGCGCCACCTTGGTTTTCGCCGCCAAAAAAAACACTTTTGCACTTTTACTGCAAACAAACCGCAGATAAATGACCGCACTATAGACTTCTTTTGAACTATCACAAAACCCGTGAAGTTCAACTCGGATTCCGGAATGAAAATTTAAATGAAAAACAAACCGAGGTTGTCTTACTTCCCGCAGAGATTTTAATTCATCTAAAAACTTGTTCCAAATTGACGCAAGTGCCGGTGGGATAAGGTCATCCCAATTTAATTTGTCTTTACATAACAACTGAAATATTGTTTTGATTCTGGCGGTGACGGGAGCAATCACACCCAATGGATCGAAAATCGAGGCCGATGCACTCAGTAAATTCCGCTTGGTTTGCTCCAGGCTCGCACATTTGCTCAAGAAATTATCGAACTGAAAAACAAACTCATCCGTGATGGTATCCCACGCAACACCTAAGACAGCCTGATTTGGCGTAACTAAATTAGGCGACATTACCTCGACATAAGTAAGATCTTCCCCTAGGGGTTGGGAATTAGGTTTGTCACCCATTGTCGATGAAATATATGCTCGAAGTTCTGGATCGTTAGTTACCCACTTACGTAATTCAAACCCTCCCTCTAGCATAATGGCTTTACTAGTCTCATATATTTCCTTAGCTGTACCAACGCTATCGCCTCCACTAACCAAATCATCTACGTACAAATCCTCGCGAATACGCTCTACGACTGCATTCTCCTTCTCTACATACTTGCTAAGGTGGTGCCTCAACGTCGCGTTTAACAAGAAAGGACTACTCGTTAGTCCAAAAACTACCCGTAAAAATCTGTAAGTGATTATTTTTTCCTCTTTAGAATTGAGGTCATACCACAAAAACCGTACAAAATCTCTATGCTCCCTAGATATAGGGATGTTAAGGAACGCCTGTTTTATATCTGCTAGGATGCCTATTTTATTAAGCCTAAATCTCACTAGGATGTCAAATATCTTGGCAATAAGATTTGGTCCTGAATACAAACATTGGTTAAGTGAGGGGCCGTTAACCTGACACGAAACGTCGAAAACTGCCCGAATTTTCGTAGTCTGCTTGTCCTCACGCACGACCGGTCGATGCGGGAGATAATGGACCCCACCTACTTCCCCAGCAATCTCATGTGAAGGAACGCGTTCAATTATTCCGTTTTTTTCGTACTCTGTAAAGATCGTATCATACTCCCTGAGAATTCCTTTGGATGTTAAACGCCGTTTTAGAGATGTTAAACGCCCTTCACATACACTAAAGTTGTCTGGCAGCTGCTCATGGTCTGGCTTAAAGGGTAATTTCGTTACATATCGGGTCCCGTCGTGCCCTATGTCATTTTTAAGCTGACTGACCACACAGTCACTGGAGGAGCCTATAGTTTCCACGGACCAAAATTTATCTAAAACTTGTCGTAAAGCGTCTGATGTTTGTTTACATTCAACTGAGGCACGTAGGATATGGGTCTCGAAACAATGCAGGTCAAGAGGACCTGTCCCAATTTTGCCACTTACTACCCATCCCACCTTAGTTCCGCATGCTACTGGACCCGCCTTACTTCGCACAACCTTTCCTGTCATGAACGTGTGGTAATAATCTACCCCGATTAAAATTCCTACTGGGAGGTTTGGAGAATCGCCTTCATGGTCAGCCAATTCCAAGTCCTCAAATTCTTCCAAATTATGCGTTTTTGAGATATATTGATTAGTAAGAGGGCTGCAAATTGTGGGAACACATAAAACCTCAACACTGGTGCACCTAGAATCAGATTTATTCTTAACTTTGACCTGAACGACATCTAGTCTCTTAACCTTGCTATCATTGTCCTGACCAAAGGTCTTAATTATGACCTTTTCTGACCTGATCGACTTTAACTGCAACCTAGCTCTAACCTTATCAGAAATGTAAGACCGCTGGCTTCCACTATCAAACAAAATCCTGGTAGCTACTTGAGTACCAATATTCTCCTCATCATAGACCTGTACTCTAGCTGTTTGTAATAATATTCCCTGCTGGTCACAGCCAGTATGACCTACAAATTTCCTACTCTCCTCATCCTCTTTGCTCCCATTCTCCTTACTTGCATTTCGTCTGCCCGAAGCTGCCTCACAAATGGAAATGTGGTGTTTACCCTTGTTGCACCGCTTACAAACATAAGTTGCCGTACAATTTTTTGCTATATGTCTCGAATCTAAACAAATAAAACATCTCCCTTTTTTCCGTAATATGTCTTTCCGAGAATGGTGATTCGAGACCTTACTACACCTAGATGGAAGATGTCCCCCCTCATTACTATATATACAGGGGGTTTTACTAGTTTGACTGAATAATCCACTTGCTGTATAGGGTTCCCTTTTCCTGAAATTGTCAGATCTACCATCTGATTTATTACTCAATGAGAAATTACAATCTTCTTGAGCACGAAGCTCATTGTTAAAAAATTCCATAACCTTATCTAAGTTCCATACTTTACCACAAAACTGTCTCGAAATAATCATATTAATCTCATCGGGCAAGCGGTCCTTTAAAATTGGAATGAGAAGAGAGCCATACCCACTGGTGTCAAGCTTAAGAGATTTCAAGTTCCTCATACAGTTTTCAACATGACTGTACAACATCCTTAACCCCTTAATGTTATCAACTGACTTAATTTTATTAATTTTAAGTAGAGACTCCATAAGTGCAGAAATGAGCACCTGCTCATTCCCAAATCTATCCTTTAAAACCTGAACTGCCTCCTGATAATTATCTGAAGTTAAAGTCAACCCTGAAATAGCCGCAAGAGCTTCCCCTTTCACACAACCTTTTAAATAATTGAATTTATCAATATCACTTATGTTTATATTACTGTGGATCGACACTTGATACTGATCCCAGAACCCCTGCCAATCTAAGGGTTCCCCCTTAAACTCTGGTAATGCTAATTTTGGCAGCTTACAATGCGCAGGACTTCTATTTGTGCTTAAACCGGCTGCACCTAAGGAATAACTTGCGCTATTAATATTACTTTGCCCTTGCTTAATTTCTTCAAGTTTCAAATCCGCCTTTGCCAAAACTTGGTGACAAGGTTCTAAAGCTTTCATGTGACGAATAATTTCCGGCTCAATGTCCTTTGGATCTATCAAGGATAATATTTCATTGTGCACAGTCGCCAATTGTTCGATGATACTAGCCACATTGTTTCTCAACCCAAGGAGTTTAGATTGCTCGCAATCACCGCTTTCCGAAGAAACATACTCGTTTAATTCACTTAAAAGAGTTTTCAAATACGCGCCCAGACCAAGGTGTCTGCCTTTAGCCCTTGCTAATTTTTCCTCCATGACAAATATGAAATATGAGATATGAGATACCGACTACACAATACACACTGTGGACGCGTTTTTACAATACAACGCTACGTATGACAATTAGACACAAAAAATATATAGAATTTCTAACATTTACTATATCATAAAACATATACACTTCAGAACAATGCACAACCCCAAAGGGATCTCTCAAAAGGAAAGAATTTACCTCTAACCACGATATCGACCAACCGACACGCTCGCGAATGACTCACAGACTCGTGTTCACTGTAACACTGTCGTCGACTTAAACGCACAATTATTGATACCTCGTATTCCGTATGATGTTCTGCCGTGTCCCCTATCGGGCTCCATGTAAAAAGCACTCTCACACTTGCTTTTTATATAGTTATTTTAATATAAATAACGCAACATAAATTTACATGTTGTCCGTTTTATCTCAACTAACTTCCGATTGCCCTACACGTGTCTTTTTAATCGTCTCACCACGTGACAGCTCACGTGATTATAACAGAACCAATAATGTTATTAAAAGTAAATAAATGTATAATGTAAAACGTCATGCACTAGATTAATGTTTTCTACAAGGCTAGTTCCTTTAATACCATATAATTCAAGCTTTGATAAAAGAATATGATGGTCGACAGTATCAAAAGCTTTTTTAAGGTCTAGAAATAAAACTCCGCTAAGTAAACCTCTGT